AAAGAAAAATTAGAATGGAAAAAAATATTGAATAAATTAAAATGAATTGCATTTGGTACAATACAAGAGAAATTGAAGATCACCCTTGACTTTTTAACTGATTCAGAGAAAGATTTGTTCGTTAATATAGTTCGCTTTTATGTGGGTCAAAGTAAAGACGATGTCAAAAAATTGCTGAAGGGCTCAAGATTCCCAGTAGGAAAGGTAATGCGCCAAATCATTAAGCGGAGAATTGTAAAGGTTGTGAATGGCAAGCTTCTTGTTCATGATTTGCTACAAGAGGTAGTAAGGGAAATTAGCCCCTATAAGCCAGTGCTCAAATATTTCCATGATGTATTTTTAAGTTTTAGAGGTGAAGACACACGTAAATTGTTTACCACTCATCTTTATAATGCTCTAAAACAAGCAGGCATTAATGTCTTCATAGATGATCAAGGGCTTGAAAGGGGAGAAAATATTTCATCCTCACTAGTGCAGGTCATTGAAACTTTAAGAATTTCAATCATTGTATTCTCAAAAAATTATATTGGTTCTAGTTGGTGCTTGAAGGAATTAGAGAAAATCATGGAGTGTCACAAAACAATTTCTCAAGAGGTCTTACCCATTTTCTATGATGTGAGACCATCTGAAATTCACAAACAACAAAATTCTTTTAAAAAATTCCTTGTGTACTGGAGACCATCAAATGGAAAAAAGTAAAAAGTTGACAACCAATTTGCAAAGAGCCCTTACTGAAGCTGCTAACTTGTCTGGATGGGATATGCAGAACTATAGGTATTTTTTTAATTAATTATATATTTTTCTTGTGATTATTCAAAAACTCAAATTTCATAGGCTGTTTGTTTGTTTTTCTTTTTGTTAATATTTGTGTTGAGTTCTTTTTGGTGATGGAAGTTTCAATGGAATAACATTACATGAAACGAGACATAACTGGCTATAACATAAGCTTATTCTTATGGACAACCTTGATTAAGCTACCAACACAAAATTAACTACCCTAAAATGATGGATCTTATAACATCCCAATTTAAATTTTAATAGTTAATTTGGGTTAATAAAAATTTTAAAAAATATTTAGAGGTAAATAAATTAGTAGAAAATGATTATTAAATCTAACTTAAAATATAATTCTAAATTAAAATTTTTTAAAAAAATTAATTAATTAATTAAAAAAATATTATTAAATTATTATTATTATTATTATAAAAAAAAGAGAAAAGGTATGAATAAAAAAAAAGGGAAGAAGAAGTGAACTTTCGGCGCTCTCCCGGTGTAATGATTATGTATATATAATAATAATAAAAAAAAGAGAAAAGAAAAGAAGAGAGAGGAAAGAGGAAAATAATAAAAAAATGTGTGGGACCCACAGTATTTTTTTAAAAACTCACTTCTTTCCTTCGTTTCTTCATTTCTTTCCTTCGTGCGCGAGCTGAGGCAGAGTGAGCGCGAGTCTGCCGACGAGAAGAGATCTGAGTTTTTAAGGTAAGAGTTTTTAATATGATATTTAGGGTGTGATTTCAAGCTTTTCAAGACTAAGTAAGTGATCTAAAATTTGTTCTTAGTCATCCTTCTTCTTTGGTTTCTGATTTTATGGTGGTAGAAAATTTAGGATTTGGAAGAGTGATGAATTTATGTTGAATAAATATGATTTTTGAGGTTGTTAGTAGTATAATAAATATTTTAGAGTATAAATTTGTTGATGATCTTTGAAATTGTGGCTTAAGGATCAAATCTTAGATTAGATTTTTATTAAATTTGAAAATATATGTTGAATTATTAAGGTTTAGATGATTATTTGGGATGAGAAATGAATTATTATGGCTATAGGATTATGATTCTAAGCTTGAGACTCAATTTTTAATTTTTGGGTATTTTAGGTGTGAATTTATGAAATAAAAAGAAAATTTTGATAATAGAAATTAGTTTAGAAGTTGCTTTTTACATCATTAATGTTTATTGATGAGTAAAAAAGAAGTTAAAAATTTTAATTAATAGTATTAACTCTAGATTTATATTAAGATTGAGATTAGGAATTATGTTATATTTTTAATTCTATTATTAGAATTATTTTATTAGTTTCAATAATTGAAACTAATATTTATAAATAATATGTCATTTGTAAATTGTATTGTTGGTGAAAATCGTGGTGGGAGAGAAATTTGTAAGAAATAATTTATTGAAAAAAAAACCACGAGGTAACCATGCTTTTAATTTGTAATTAGTGTTACTTCATGTTAATTGGGTGATTATTGAGAAAATTATGAATTTTATAATATTATATAATTGTCCAATATTGTTATGAATTTTGTTTGATTATTGTGGAAAGTGTTGGGAGATTTGCTATTGTTGTATTTATGTGCCACGTGGTACGCCCCTATTGGAGCTCAATAGGTGGCTTGTAAGGGATCGGGTTAATCTACCTTTAACCGGGTAATTTAGCATCGAGTGAGGGCTACGGCTCGAGGTTAATGGAGGGATATAAAGAGGGTTGTTTGTGTGTATTGTAATATTTTTTATATTTTATTGGAATTATATTATTTTTAATTCTCACTTAATAAGCACACACTTAATTGTTTGTATATACTATCATAAATTGGCTATGGTTACTGGGACTTTTGAGTCTCATTATGTGGTTAATAATTTTTAGGAGAAGAGCCACGAGTGACATGCGGAGGAGACTTCGTTTGAGAAGATGAAGAGACTTCGTTTGCTCCAACTTAATCATGTAAAACTTGATGGAGATTATGGCTATCTATCAAAAGAATTGAGATGGCTTTGTTGGCATGGATTCCCCTTAGAAAACATGCCAACAAACTTAAGGCTAGAAAAGGTGGTTGCCATAGACTTAAAGTGGAGCAATCTCATAAAAGTATGGGAAAAAAGTCAGGAATTCATATAATGGACTTTTTTTGAATAATTTCATTAATGATAATAGTTTTTTCATCTATGTTTTCCCATTTGATATGAAACTAATTTATTTTAAAATATTCTCATTGCACAGTTGCTAGAGAGGTTAAACATTCTGAATTTGAGTCATTCCCTTGACAGAGACACCTGACTTTTCAATGTTACCCAACCTTGAGAAGTTAATACTCAAAGATTGTTTGAGTTTGTCTATGATTCACCCCTCCATTGGAGATCTCAAATATGTTATTTTGTTAAATTTGAAGGACTGCAAAGGCTTAAGAGATCTCCCAAGAAGTATATATGAGTTGAGATCTTTGAAAACCTTCAATCTTTTGGTTGTTCAAAGATTGAAAAGTTGGAAGAAGACATTGAGCAAATGGAATCTTTGACAACTCTGATGGCCAATCAAACTACTATAACACAAGTACCCTTTTCATTAGCAAGAATGAAAAGCATTAAATATGTGTTTCTATGTGGCTACGAAGGATTATCACGTGATTTATTTCCGTCTATTGTTTTCCCTTGGATGTCCCCAACAAATCATTCAAAGTCCTTGTTCCAATCCTTTGGGATCATGCCATCTTTGATCAAGGGTCTATCACATCGTTCATGTGCCAAAAGTCATGAAATGTTAGAAGCTATACCGAGCACATCTCAAACTTCATGTAGAAGTGCGACAGCACCAATTGGTTTTTAAAATCAAATTCACATGAAAAGGTCAGAAACTTTCATGAGTTCCCTCACAATTTATGTTGGTGGGTTCAACAAAGCTATCAATACACTTTTAAAAAATATCTCACAGGTTATTTTCTTTATCTCAACTACCAATACAATGCATGATTTATCAATGTCAATTTTCAAATGTTCATAGAAGATCCACTTTTATCATATATGTTTACCTGGCTTTTAATTAAGTAACTCAAATATTTTCAAACTTAAATGTGAAATGATGTACTTTAAATTTATAACTTATCAATGTTCTATGCACGTAATAATAATAATGATAATGTACATTATACTTTTAACAACATTGAATGCCTTTTTTTTTTGTCAAAACATTGATTGCGTTTAAGTATGCAGCAATGCACATTACATTGCTTCAAACATTGGCTATTGTATATTTGATTCATCTAGAAACCCTTACTTCGATGCACTTGGAAATAAATCTGCCACACTCATAGGACTTTAAATTCCAATACTCAATCACTAATTTGATGAGAAAATTTAGACACATATTCAAGCTGACTTCATTTAATATTTTTAAATATACTTGTTTAAGCATGAGTTCTAATACAATTTGTAATTGAATAGTGCCCATTTATATGCATGCCTTTTTTTCTACATGGTTTATTATTAGTTTGTCTTTGTTATTTTCATGGTTCAGGGATGTAGTGAAAGAGGGTTTGGTGATAATTCTCTTCCTAAAGACAATCATCATGAGTGGCTAAGTTTCAAAGGTGAAGAATCTTCAGTATTGTTTGAAGTGCCTTAAATAATTGGCAGGAGCTTGAAAGGAATGATTATTTGCATAACCTATTTGTCTTCTCAAGACAACATGACATTATATCCTGTTAGTGTCTTGGTATCAAATCGTACAAAGGCTACCATTAAATTTTACAAGAAAGATGCAACAATTACTTCAGAGGATGTAGAGCGGCAAAACATTGTTTCTAATTTAGAGCCTAGTAACAGAGTGGAGGTTATAGTCACTTTTGCATGTGAATTAATAGTGAAAAAGACAACTATCCATTTGGTATATGATGAAGATGTTAGCAAGAGAATTATGTACCACTAAATGTCTCCAAGAGCATAATTGTATGAATAATGTTGTTTACGCAGTCTTTGATGTAAAAGAAAGCTACATGGCTGTGCATGTTCAGACCTAAACTACAGCAGGTTTTAGTTGTCAACTAGGTTATGTTTGCCATAATATCTTTTATGTATACAACTGTATGAAATTTTAACTAATTCTATCGAAAAATAATGAGTCTTTATCCAGAAATGGCATACATACATACATACATACATACATACATACATATATATATAGGCTTATTGAAGGCGATGAGTGGGAGAGAGAAAGATGCATATAAAGGTAATGAGTCTTTATACGTATGATTTTTTTCACTCTAACTACCATTAATGATAGAATAGTATATAAACCAAGTGAAAGTTTATAACAAAATAAGTAAAGGGGCTCGGTGACATGATGACTTTTTTGAGAGCCCAAAGTGTCACGCCCTGAAAATAAGGCATGACCGACACGAAATATAAAAACAAAAATCCATATCCTGAAACATCTCAACTTAAGAAACTCTAATTTCTAAATCATCAAAACATTTGACAGCCAATCAACCCATTTTTAGTGTGAATAATAAAAATAATATATTTTTGTAAAAGTTGCCACAGAACTTTTCCTTAAGATAGGATCTCCTAAAAATTGTACAACAATATTTTTACACAAAATAATCAAGAGCTCAATTCTTGATAGTAAACCAACAATAAAGATAATCAAATGAAGATCCTAATTATAGTATATTTGGAGCACCTAATCATATTTTCAAAACATAATACATAAATTGCTTAATTATATTAAAAGAGGTATTACAAAACAAATCTTCACTAGCCAAAAGTCCTTCAGTGGTTAGCAAGACGCACACTATCAGTTGCACTATATGAGATCAAACAAATACTTTCTAGTGAATAACATTTCAACCATAAAATTTTGCAACATTAAAATGAATAATTTACAACAGTTATGAAAATTAAAAATAAAAGAATTCAATATAATAAAAATTTGTACTTTTAATTTTTTTTAAAAAAATCTATACAAGTTTAGTAAAATGAATCTTTAGATCTTTACTGATGAAGTAGCTCTAATATTTAATCTTGACAAGTCAATTGGATTAAATAAATAAGTAAAAATAATAACATTTATAAATTAAAAACTTTTAGAATATGAAATCATTAGTTAATTTAAAAAAATTTATATTTTGAAAATTTATCAGAATAATTTACAAATATGGACACACGGTCCATAAGAGTAATACTAACCAAACACGACTTGAAGATATGAAAACAAACGTGAGTACAAGATCTATGAATAACAAACGTGAAAACAAAACTCATGAAAATCAAATTACTTAGTCATTATCTATGGCACGCCAAGGGCTAATGGAACTACCATTAGCAATCAGTGTTCTGCATAATATCCCTTCTAATTTCATTTTCAAACATGTGAGAAAATTATCACTATAAAAATATAGTTCTCATTCTAAAAGTCAAACTCACATGAAGAATTTTGAGCATAAAGAAAAAAACTTATCAAAATAAAATTTCGTAACTAATATCTATGTTTGACATTTATTAAGTAACCTAAAAACAGCTAAAGTTGATAAAAATAATCTATCACTTTTGAAAGTAGCCGTCATAAGGAAAAATACATACAAATGTCATAATTCAAATATTCTTCAACATCTCTTTATAATTTCCCCAAGAAAAAAATAATTAATTAAAAAAGTATTAAATATATAATATAATTATTATTAAATGATCTATGTAAAAAAATATTTGAAAAAAGAATTTTTATTGATAAATCAGTTGGGACGTTATCCACTTACCTATAGTGTACCTAAGTATTAGAATTCATTTCTCAAGACTTCAATCAACTCTTCCTTACTACTTCAATTGAGATTTCCTTTCTCCAAATTCCCTGTTCAATAATAACAACACCATAGTCACTATGTTATTAAATCAATCCAACTTATACTCTTCATCAATCAATTCCTTCAAAACTATTATATATATACATGTCATACATTACAACTCAAAATCTACAATCCAAATTAATTCAAAGGAGTAGAATAGATAAATCTTAACTCCAATATTTCTCAAATACTACATTAAACATCCAATTGTCTACATATAACTTTTATAATCATCAAATTTGTCCGCAATTCTCAAGTTAAAGTCACAATAGTTTTATAATCAAAATTCTTCATCTAAACTAAGTTAAATATGAAATCTCCAGTTCTTTTTTTTTTCCCCAACTATCCTATTAAACATTTTTTATTTTGAACAATACTTAGACCATAAGACCAAGTTCTTTTCCTCCTCAATTCTTTGTCAAAAGTTGTCCTATATTAATGTTTGAACTTCTCAACTTCCAACTTCTACTAAAGAGAAATTTTCTTCTAATGATGGTTTATTTAATCAGCAATATAATGGTCAGATATATCAAGCCATTATATAACAAAACTCTCACTTAATCATTTTATCGAACACTTGAGCATTAAACCACAAATTATTATTAGCAAGATTTCTCCTATCCTATTTCCAATTCCCAAAATCCTTTAACATAAATATATAAATTAATTAGCTTCCCAATTTTCATTGGTTCAATAAACAAATCATTCTCTAACTCTAATATCAATATTTGAATAATTCTAGCTTACCAAATTTCATTCCTTCAACAGAAAAATAAGCCTTAATTCACGGAAAAGTTTCAATCTACCTATTATTATATAGCTCTCAACACCATAAATTTTACCTTGAATCAGTTTCTCATCCCTATCCAAAACTCACAGCAGAAAAAAAAAAATCATCACCTAAATCACATGGCATTCACACGCACACACAGAACGACAAATGGGAAGAGGGGTTTTCTTCTATACCTCATATCATCAACCAATCATGGAGAAGGAAAGGAGAGATCGAAGCTCACACTGAACAGGTGAGAGGAAAGAAAATGACCTCCACAGCAGCACAAGTTCTTGGCAAGCACAGAACAGGGGAGAAGACCGACTGTGATGTTGCCAGAACTCCTTGCAGCGACGGAAAAATAACGATGGAGGGGAAAGGAGAAGAAAATCCGAACACCCACAACCACACGGCCAGGAGAACCACTGTCGACGCCTGCGCTCTCATTTGAAGAAGGAAGAAGCTTGAAGATGCCGTGCGTAGAAGATTCACGGCGACAGTCCCAGCACCGGCGACGGCAAAAATTGAGAGGGTGGAGGCGATGGTCCGAAGCTCTCATTCTCTCACTCTCGCACGGTCTCCTTGCTCTGGAACCTTCGAAGCTGAAGACGGAAAGAGTGAAAGGGACAAAAAACTGATGCGTGACTCCCCTGATTTGCAATAGCCTGTCAATATATTTGAAGGGCAAAAATGGTAATTTATCGGACAACCAAAATGAAAATTCCCTGATAAGCAAGGATGAAGAGAACTTTCACTAAACCAACAGCACATCTTATTACATTTTCAACAATTGATAAAAGTACAATAAATTTATCTTACTATTTTTTAAATTTATAAATATAACCTGGGTCATTATATAAAATAATTTCTTCGTAGACATGAGTCCATACCATTAATAAACACGTGTGTATCATTAATTACAATCATATGATAGCAATTTAGTTAAAAGAAATTTGTCTCTCACTCTCAATGTTTCAATGTTTCAGGAGAGATAATCTCTTATTTTATATATCTTCAGAACCTACCCTTTATGTTTACCAAAAAAACTACTATTTGGCAAATTCATCACAGTGTGCAGTTTACATTGGATAAGATAATTATCACATGGATTATTCCTAACAATGGCAAGTGTTTTCCAGGAAAATATGTAGTACGTAGTATTAACACAGGCTTGGTTTTCATTCACCAGCCGGGTATTCAATACTATTAATAAACTTATATAGATTCCCTTCTCATACTTTAATCTAGATCCAACAACTTTAACTGACATCAATCGAAAAAAGGAAAAAGAAACTTGATGCTATGCGATGGTGCGTGATGGATGTCATGATACAAGACTTCATATGAGTGCATAAATTTAGCTGGCCCATGGAATCAAAAAACAAACAAAAACAAAACAAAACAAAACAAAGAAAGAAAGAAAGAAAGAAGAAAGACCTTGAGATGCGTGGGCCATGCACGGGGACAGACAAGACAATATATAACAGCAACTAGCAAGAACAGCGCCTTGCGAGTTTAACAAGAACGTTGCACAAGAAGTGGTACACTGAGAGGCTGAGACTGGAGTTCTTTTTAAATTATGTAGTTCATGCAACTAAAGGAAGATGAGGACATACAATAGTGGGTCTCATTTAATAGGTGAGGCTAAGCTAAGTACCGTTCTCTCCCCACCTCCTTCTCTCAAAATAATTGTACTAATTGCGACAAACATATATATATATATATTGTTTCAGGAAAAATTCCCCTCCACTGTTGTATTCTCATGCATGACTGTTCTTTTTTCTCGAACCTCCCTTGAGATCCTTCCCCTGAGAACTTCTAGAAGTTCTAGCCAACAACAAGAACACATGCCCTGCTCTTTCGGACCATTTTTCAAGCCACGACGTCAAATCTAGATTTTTCTGTTTTATAGGACGAGGACCTACCATTAGGAGTCAGACTCAGGACGGAATAATTTATTCGTCTCTCAAATCTGAGAGTGCATGTACACCTGACCTAACTTAGATATGAAATTCAAAATAACTACTCATGGCTTCGCAAATCATATCATGGCTTTATATCTTAAAAGAACAAGTATTAATAAAATGAAAATATTGAATAAGCAACAACGAAGGGACTTTTCATCATCGTTTTCCCTTCTATATATAAATTAGCATTACACGAAAATCCAAGAAATAGACAAGCAGGGCAACCACAATGGTTACTAACATTATTCAAAGTAACACGTGCGCAAGTTCAAACTCCATAGAAATGAATTCAACTGCTCGGTCACTTAATCAAAGTTTCAACAGCAAACATCAACAAGCAAACAAGGAAGGCAGAAACAGTGAACCACCACGTGATACTTGCAGGCAAAAAGCATACCCATTATTCCCAAGAACCCAAACAAACCGATCAGAAAACTCGGCTTTTTGCATCTTCTTCGCGATGGTTGGCCATTTCTTAGCTGAAGAAATAAGGAACGCAAGTGCAAAACAACCCACCACAGTATAAATCATAGCCTGGTAATTATGTTTATCTCTTGATGAAACAAGATTTGTAAGAGCACCCAGATGTTCGGCAGCAAAATTTGTGAATCCTTGTTTGCTATCTTCGTATGGTGGTGATGCAGAAGGGGTCAAGGGCATATCAATGGTGAAACTATCACTTTCCATGGAGGGTAACATTATCAGTCCTCGTAGGATTAACTTGTTGGACTTGGATTTCGGGTGAACACAGGAGGGTTTTGGAAGAGTAACAGCATTACTAGAATTGTTTGTGATAGGTCTTGTTGAGGGCAAATTATGGGAATGATTCGAATTGACTATGGCGACATTAAGATTTGGAGTTCGCTCTCCATGGACGACGAGACGCTCTGGCTCCTTCAGCTTAGATCCTGTAGATGCAAAGAATAACTAAACAGACGTGCAGAACAATGATGGCAATGTAATATACTAAAGTCACTATTAAAAGGATAAGAATATCATGGGGTATAAAAATTGACAAATGTTAAGACAAATAATCATTACTGAAAAAATAACTAGCTAGTTCTGGTTGACATGCAAAACATGTGAAAGATAATAAAGAACACCGCTTACCTCAGTTTTACAGGAGCTAAAAGCCTAAAAGTTCACTGCCATATGTGTCATTTCTTATCAGGATACAGATAAACTCAAAAAAAATTACCTTGATTCATCAGCTGGAGCAGCATATTGACTGAGAGAGGAAACTAGTTAGTGTGTATGAATGCAATCATTTAGGTAGAGATCATCAGAAGAGGAGATTATATTTGACTGAAGAGAAGCTGGTAGCAGAAACATCTGAAGGATCAGTTCCGAGGATGAGACTGAGAGTTTGCTTCTCCATTGGAGGAATTGAGTACTCTTCTCCTTTTGCAGGCCTTTAGTCAAAGTCCATGCTTTATCCGAGAAGGTGTGTTTTTGCAGTACTGATGCACTGATGTTATCTGGATACTTTGAAGTTAAAATAGAGTGAGAGAGAAATAGAGAGGAATCCTAAGTGGCACCCTCTCTCTGTCTCTCATCTCTTTAGAGATGGATATGCTTCAAAGAATCCTAGCTGTGGCATTGTTAAGTATCAGTATCTTGAATAAAAAAAAAATCATATAATTCGTAAATATGTAGGAGCACGAAAGTAATAGCTGCCATATGTGTGTGTGTGTGAAATACTAACAACAAAATTTTCTGTCGTGTAATTAAGTCATATATGAGTGATAATTGATAAATATGCAAGTACAGCAAATGTATATATGTATATATGTGTATAGTAAGGGTGTGTTTGCGGTCTTTGCTTTCAAGTCTTGTCTCTAAATAGATAAATATTTTTTAAGCTTACACATATATCATTTTCATAATTAAACTAATTCAATACATATATTTTAAACTTAAGTTTTGTGTGTGTGAGAAAAGATGTAAAAAAATAGTCAAATAGTCAAACTATTTTTTTTTCACAGTAAAACCATATAAAATTAAATAAGTTGGGGTATAATAAGTTATGCATGGTAAAGATCTGTATATACGAAAATAGAAAAACAGAGACACATGCAATATATATATATATATATACAAGTTTAATACTAAATTCAATTTTTTTTTTTTTTCACATGAAGAGGATTTATCTCTTGGCTACCTGCACCATACCTGGTTCCACTCTTAGCATATGAGCCCGAGATAAACTAAATCTCAAGTACTGGCTATATTCAAACCAATTTTTAATGGTTAGGCAAATTCATAAGTGAATTTAAGGTAAGGATTTGAACCCTAATTTTTATGCACGCTCTAACCCACCTTATTGCCACCTACCTATCCTTAGCTAGTTTCTCGAATATCTGGCTAAACTAGAAGATGTATAAAACGATTTATTCTTAAATAATAAAAACTATTTGACCGGCACTATATAGCGCCAAAGAGGTAAAAAGACAAATAAATTAGAGTAAAATTCTAGTATGGTATGCATCTACAGCAGCAAGAGCTAGCATTATAAATATCAGCCGAATTAAGAAACCATACAAAACAATAGAAGGCCAGCCAAAGAAAGTGCGCGCGCGCGCGCGCGCGCGCGTATCTTTCAAGATAAAGATCAAAGCTTTACTTTAGATCTTCAAATTAGAAAGATTTCAAACGAAGAGCACATTTGACATTATGCATTTACTGTGCTAGTCTCTCTCTCAGCAATGAGAAATAGATGTAGCAGCATATCAGTCCTCATGCCTCTCTGAGGTGAGTCTCCATGGCTCCGAAGATCGCCCTTTTGAACACATTATGCTAGAACAATCATGCATAATATATGCAAAATTGGGCTGGCTGGTTGTGTAAGTCAACCAAAGATTAGATTTTGTTCATACGAAGAACCAAAATCAACAGATCTAACAATATAAACACGAGTAAGTAAATTGTGGGAAGAAACCATACCAAGTGATGCATTTGCAGGCTCCTCATTAATAACTTGAGGATCATGAATGACCATTTTGATCAGATCTTCCCAAAGTGGAGGCACATGCTGCTCTGAACCGCCATGACGAGAAGCCAATTGAGCGATGATTTGATGGAGTAACTGGAACGATGATGGAGGATCTGAAGAAAGCGCTAAATCTTCCAGTACAGACAGTCCCAGGTGTTTCCGAACCAGATCTAGGTGTGAGAGACTGGATATTTGAGATCAAACTCAAGCTCTTTCTTTGAAGCTTCGATGAAGCTCTCTATGAACTTCTGATCAGGATCCATGGGATCATGATCACGAAGATGATGGTGGTTTTGGGGAGCCATGAACAATGGAGGGTGCTGAAGGCTAGTCGTCAAGAAGGGTACAGAGAACAGGGAGCTTAAAATGAGCACTGAGAAGTAGTGAAGCTGCCTTATAACAGGGGTTAGGGCCCTCCACGCCTCCTTTTTTAATATCTATTGTAATATCTCAATTTTTAATTTTATTTTTTTAAATAATTAACTTTTATATAAAATAAGAATATTTTAATATTTTAAAATGATAAAAATTTATATTTTTTTTAGTTTTTTAAAAATAAAAAGATATATATGTGATATTTTTTAAAAAAAAATCATAAAAAATACAAATAATTTGAACATAAAGATACCAAAAACGTCTTTTATTTTATATAAAAAACATAATAAAAAATAAAAAATAAAATTGAAAAGGAGAAACATTATAGATATATTAAAAAAAAAATATTAAAGGCTAATGGTGCTTGTTCTGTATTGAGAGAGGTTGATTGGTAGGTGAGCTTGGAAATATATTCCAAGAATAAAGCAATACTGGATGGGAAGGATGGCGATCCCACATGAATGGGGAGTGCGCATGTGAATCTTTTGTTATGTAATAATTAATTAAATAAATCCGTTTTAAGAGTTGTTACTACAGTGCAAGTGGAGTTCAACAATTAGGGTTGGATATTGGTGGATCTAGAAAGATCTAATGTACTGACGTTACCCGGTTTCCATTCCGAAAATTGCGGGGCTTTTGTCGTCATACCATTTTTTGCCACCTGGAGGCCACCATGAATCCCCTCTCTTCAACGTTTTGTACCGTTAGAGGTCCCATGTTGCATTTCGGTGCACCGAATGTTATTAACATAAGAGCAATTTTAACCTTTCATTTTAATTTAGTCAATCCATTCATTTAAATTAATTTTTAAATATTTTTAATATTATATTTAATAAAACGAAAATATAAAAATTTAATATTAAATCTGGATTATTTAAAGTATATGTAAATGATTAATTTATAAAATTTATAAATCTTTTAATATTAAATTAAATCATCTAAATTATACTTAAATTGTATAGAGTCTATCTGTGTAATTAAATTGTAAAATTATAAATTTTTTAATATTAAATTGGATTGCTGGATTAAATTTGTATCATACAGATTGATAATGAACTGATATATTAAAATTTTTTATATTTTTTATATTAATAAATATAGTATTAAAATATTTAAAAAATTAATTTAAACCAGACAGCATGAATCAAATAAGGCTAAAATAAAAGGTCAAGATTGTTCCTGACTTTAATAAGCGAATGCAATTCCCATTTTCTAGCACCTTTTAAATGGGTTCCCAACTGTATATATATTATCTCTTGACTGCGTACGTCAAGGTGACTCAATGGTACCAGATTCAGCCTCAACTTCGCTATGTAGGAGAGGTTGGAGGATCGAACCTGGAAGGCTCCCTTAGCGTAGTGGGTGCGGGAAATAACCCATGAACTACCATGGGGAAAGCCGGCTGGTGGTTGCGTGAGGTGGCACAGACCAGTCCACCACTCACAGCAGTGGGCTCAGGGGGTGTGACTGTTACATAAAAGGCGCCTTTTATGTAACAGTCACACCCCCCCGAGCCCACTGCTGTGAGTGGTGGACTAGGCCGTGCCACCTCACGGCAACCAAGCCGGCTTTCCTCCTGGTAGTTCAGGAGTTATTCCCCATACCCACTGCGCTAAGGGAGCCTTTCCAGGTTCGATCCTCCAACCTCTCCTACATAGCGAAGTTGAGGCTGAACCTGATACCATTGAGTCTTTTATGCTCTTTCCCTTCTACCACTAACCTGGACTAATATTGTTTTTCTTTCTCTGGTTTGTTCCTTTAGGAGGGGAGAAAGGTCCGTACGCTTGTGGCCGTACACCTTTCAGTTCTAATATGGCTCGAAGGGGAAGGGGTAGATCGAGGAATGAGGAACGACCACCACCTCTACCTCCTCTGCCTCCGCCTCCGCCTCCACCTCCATCACCACCACAGGGGACAGATGCAGTCATGGCTAGGCTGCTTGAAGTTATGGTGGATATACAGCAAAATCTTAGAAGTCATACTGTTCCAGATCAGCATGTTGACCTAAGTGCTGGGCAGGGATCTTCTAGTATTATGGGAGCTCATACACCAGTTTTAATAATCGAGAGGATGACATATCCGAACCTTGGAAGGAATTCTCTCGTTCTAATCCGACCACATATGATGGTAGTATGCTTGATGGGAAAGCTGAGGAGTGGTTGGATCGGATGGAGCAGTTTATTTACTGTTGTGAGGTGTACATTTGAGCAGAGGGTTATCTTGGCTACGATGCAGCTTGTTGGTGAAGCCAAGCATTGGTGGGATTCTGTTAAGCCCACAGATGGAAGATCTATGTCTTGGGCTGAATTTAAAGAAAGATTTATGATTTTCACTTTCCACCAGCTTTCAGAGATGAGAAAGAGGCAGAGTTTCATGCATTTCAGCAGGGGAACTTAGACGAGGAGACTTTTATGAGAAAATTCAATCAGCTGTCTAAGTTCTCAACATATCTGAAGGCTTCTAATGATAGCAAGTGGAAAGCAAAGAGGTTATTAGAAAAGATGAGGCCAGAATATCGCCAGTAGCTATCTTTGTTGGGCGAGGCGACATATGATGAGATGTGCAATCGTCTGAGGATTGCCGCTCGCCGAGGCCGAGACACAGAGAGTAGCCGGAGTAGGGATACACGAGGTCGATTTTCTTTTGGGTTGGCTCCTACTAGTGGTGTATCCAAGAGAATGGGTTTTAGCTCTGGTTCTTCTTCTAGTGGCTCCTTTAGAACCGGGTCTTCTTCTGCTTCTGGTAATCAAAATTTAAATAAGGGTTCAAGATTTCAAGGTAATCGGGGTGGTAATATGAGATCTGGGGGTTCTCGTTTCTCTGGGAATGCTCCAGCACGTTCTTCACAGACCAGTCAAGCCC